CCCTCCGCGGGACCCCTTGGCAGCTCCCCCCCATCCCACAGCGTTGGATGAATACTCCAGAAATCCCTTTTAGTGGCTCTGCAGCAATGCAGGGAGGGCTTCTACATCATAATAACCATAATAATAATAATAATAATTATGATTTGAAATTTATCCTGCAATTTTTTTGTTGCATTTCCGTCTGCGGGAGGGTGGCTCCGCCGGTGGCATTGTGCAACTCGGGGAAGTTTTGCCGAGCTTTTGGGGGTATCCCTTCTCTTCATCCCAGCCCTCGCCAGGTGTCCGAGCTCAACTTGGGCTCGGGCTCTTTGTTTGGGCTCTTCCCGGTTTTTCTCGCTCCCAAGGATCTTTTTTCCCACTATCTCGCCGCCCACCGGGTAACGGGAAACCCTAAACCCGGCAGGATATTTTCAAACTCCCAGCCGGGGAGATTAGATGGAGGAAAGGGGGGGGATGGATTATTTTTGGCTGGGATGCGGGACAGCTGTCTGCCGGGGAGAAGCAGAAAATAGAAGAGGAAATGGCTTAATTTGGCTTTTTTCAACTTATTTGGCTTTTAAATCCTGCAAGGTTGCGGGGTCGGAGTGGGGGAAAGCAGAGTGTGGCTCAGAGGACGTGGATTTGATGAAACTTTTGGACATCGTGCCTCCAAAACTGCTGACTCGGTGTGGCTGGCATCATCCCCTTGTGGAAAACTTTGGAAAAAAAACACCCCAAAACCTTTGGGGTCTGATATTTGGGGGGTTTTTTCCCAACCTCATGTGGATGGGGAGAGGGATTTGTGTGAATGAATTGGATTTTGGGAGATTTGGGTGAAAAAGCAGCGCCTTGTTTGGGTTTAAGCTATATGGAGCAGGCGGATGATGGGATCAGGATTCCCCCTTATTTTTTTTTTTTTCCCCTCCTCCCTCCTGTTTTATTTAACTCCCTGCACTGATATTCCTTCGTTAGGAGCAAAAGTTAATTGCTTGAGGCTAATTACAGGAGAGGTTAATAGGGGAGCTGGCAGTGTCAGGAAGGGAAGGAGATGCTCTGTTCCTTAGCATCCCAAAATTGGCTTTTTTAGGGCATTTTGCTGCCCTTGCCCCCCCAAAGCCAGCCCATAAAACCCCTTCACTTTAACCTGAGATCTTGATAATATTGATATTTATTTATAAATAACATGAAACACTCCCTGATATCATGGGGTGAGGGGAAAAACGAGGGAGAAAAGTGATGCTGAGTTTATCCACTGGAACATATTCCATTTTCCCTCCATCGTTTTTGGGAGGGGAAAATAAAGGAAATATCATTTTTTATGGAAATTTCCCTTACTTTTAGGAAATTTCTTTTTTTAAGAAGTTATGCCTTTTTAAGGCAAAATTTGTTTTTTTTTTAAGTGGTTTTTTTAAGGAAGTCACCTTTTTTTAAGGAAATCTCACATTTTCTCTTTAAGTTTTTTTTTTTTTTAAAGGAAATCTCATCTTTTGGATTAAATACATGAAGTTATGTTGGGAGCAGAGTGTTTTACCCCTCTGGCACATCAGCAATAACTCTTGTTCCAATTCAAGGATAAAACAAGACCCTCATGGGGCAGCTTTGGATTTTGGCTTTGCCAGGGAACTTTGGAATTTTTTGTATTTTTTCCAAGCTGATGGACATCACCTGTAAATTTAGTGATAACAGGGTTTTTTTATCCTCCCACAAAACTTAAATATTGGTTTGGTCCTGCTGGGGAGAGCATCCTTCATCCATCCATCCTCATCCTCAGGGGTGCAGGACTGCAGCTCTGGTACCATCATCATCCCGGTTGGGTTTGTGGGATGGATTCTTGGGATTTTTCCTGAAATCATGGAGAAAATGACCGTGGGGTGGTGGGACAGCCCAGTTTGATGGGATTTTGTGGGAGCTGCTGTGGCTTTGGAGGGATCAGTGAA